CTTCAATAACATATGAAAACTTATGGAACAACATAGAGCTTGCATATGTGCATAATTGGTATAAAAACCTAAGTGCATTCCTTTCAACACTGGCAAAATGTATCAGAACTGAGATTGTATATGTTGATTTACTCTGTACTTTATAGTGTTCAAATAAGAAAGTGGTGTTTATTTAAAAGAAAAAAAATTGTAGTGCATCGCTGTTGTGTAAGAACTTGGTTTTGATACATATTTTATGATCTGGAGTAGGTATATGCCATATTGCAGATTCTCCACCCATTAAATACCTTCCCTTCACCTTCTGTCTTGCAATGGATTAGTCTGAGACAACATGAGTGGGATGGGAAAGATGAAACTCAAGTAAGGTGTTATTGGCAGAGATCACAACGAAGGGGCCAAAGTCTCTCTCAGACATAACCATTGGAAGTACTTGTGTCAACTTGCTAACCTGCATGCTAGTTAGAAATAGAGTGATTGTTAAAAAGTGAAAACTGTCTTTCATAAACAGATCGGGGGTTAATGAACTCTTGTCATTCTAAAGTGGAAATTATCATAGAATCTATACAAGTTACTTGTTTTTCTGTTGTTGTTGTTTTTTATATAAATAAGTTCTTAAGTTCGTTGAATCAATTCTCTTCTCATTCATTGGAGATTCTTCACTCTTAGCTGTGAGATCTTGGAAACAGGGCTGTGAATTTTTTGTATTTTGCTAAGATTGAGACTGACATCACCTGGGCTTCTTCACCACAGGTTCAGGCCATAGTTGACCATCATCACCCCAGCAGTGAACACTCGGCCAGTAAAGTGCGCTTCAAGGAGGAAGAGCCAGCTGCTGACTCTGACACAGAAGCTGAGAAGGTGCTGAGAAAGGGATGGTTGTCTGTTCATGAGCATTACTGAGTATTTAAAAATAGGTCTATATACTTGCACCAATACTTAACCTGTCATTTTTCCATCACAGAGTGTAGCAGAAGATACAGATAAGAAGGCAAGCAAAAACGAAAGCTTTAAGAAACTTCTAACCATTAAACCGTAAGTTTTACACTTTTCTTGTTGAATAATATGTAAACACAAAAATGTTATAGAATACTTTGATTTAAAGTCAAAGGTTGCCTGTATACTTTCCATTATAGTTATTCAGTACATCTTAGTGCATAGCTGCATGTCAGTAAATCTCAAAAAAAAAAAAAAAAAAAAAAAATCATTAATCAATTCAAAAAATAAATAAATAAATCCCAAGTTGATTGATTAATCAAAATAGTACAGTAGTAAGAATTTCAGTTTAATGTATCCACCAGATAACCTGATTTGATTTGGTGAAAAGGCAGAAGAACCTGCCACCTCATCATTTTGCTCAATTTATCCTGGTGAAGATATATATATATCTTATCAGGTTATTCTGAGTAATTTTCAATTGATTTGTTTGTTGTTTTAGTAGAGTTAGGCACATGCATTATATTTATAAAGTATTCATACATATACATAACTTTTTTTAAACAAAATTAAGAAATTCAATTTATATCATATGCAAAATGTAAACTTTTGTATGAAAGATGGTTATATATAGCTCAATATACTTATTATTGTTATTATTATTATTATTATTATTATTATTATTATATATATATATATCTTTTACAGTATGTTGACATTCAGAATTGTCATATTAGTCTTGCTAATTTCATTGATTGGAAGTGGCTGTTTCATATTTTAATTGTTTATGAAAAGCGAGTATAAAAAGATCTTTTATTTCATAAAGTGCATTTTAGGAAGTGAATGGTTAGATATATTAAAAATGAATATTTATATTGTAAAAATGATAAAATGATACTACCTTTGGATTGTATTACATGTTCTGTAGACTGTTTGGGAATGTAGCCCAAAGCTAAGATGAATTCTAATATTGACTTTTCTCTTAACAGTGATGAAGCAAATGTACGAAGGATGCACACTGCAGTGAAGTTGAATGAAGTCATAGTGAATAAGTCCCACAACGCACAGCTAGTCATCATCAACTTGCCTGGCCCACCAAAAACCTCCCGGCCAGAGACTGAAAGTAACTATATGGAGTTCTTGGAGGTGCTCACAGAAGGACTGGAGAAGGTGTTGATGGTGAGGGGCGGAGGCAGGGAGGTCATTACTATTTACTCCTGAGTCTCTGGCACCTCGTGTGTACTTAGAATACACTTTACCATTCTCTTGTTTGTGTCCAACTTGTTTACAGGAGATGGTAATGCTAATGGAAACTTTACAAACAACATTTGCTTACCAGTTTATAGCTTACATATAGGGATTACAGACTTTGGAGACCATTGCATCAGATATACTGGCTGTGATCTCCATTTGTGTCCAATACACATTGTGTGAGATATCTACTTCAGTAAGTTTTATGGAAAAGAAAAATGGAGTATTTTTGTTATTTCTTGACAGGTGTTTAAAATCCAGCCAAGTATGATTGTGTGAATATAAGCAGATCCAGTGATGAGAATTTAAAATGAACTTTCTGCAAATGAAGTAGAATGGTAATGAGGTGAAATAACAGCAAATGTGTGCTGATAAGTTATGAGATGTGGAGGATACTGCTTCATCTTGTTCAACACTAAAGCTTCAAAGTCTCTTGACTGTATTAGTAAAGATTTTTTTTTACTAGTTGGTTGAAGGATTTTTGGCATATAATCACAGGTGTAACAAATTTAAGGAAAACAAAACATGGGGGGCAAGTTCACTTTGGAAAGGAGACTACTCATAGTGAATTAGACATTTTAATGTTATAGTCTTCAGTAACAACATTAATAATGATGGCCTATGTCATTGAGACCACCTTCAAATTCTCATAATTTACAACAATGAAATATCTCACCAAAGCACTAGTTTATAATATTACAGAAGATATGAACCAGTCTGCTGCTGATATAAGATGCTTCAGTAATGCAGAGATTTTATGAACTAGGTTACAGTTGGTATTTAAAATGATAAAAGGATCTTTTGGTTATTACTGAGGTAATTTTGAAGTATGTTAGACTATTTCATGTAGAACTTTGTTTTAGCAAATTTGTTTGTAGCAGCAATGCGAGTTGTTTAAAAATAAATACATGCATACCTTCATAAAGTTTACATACAAATATACTTACTCTCTAATTCACAGTATTTGACATTTATTTTAATATAAACAGTGTATATAGTATTACAAATAATAATTTATTTTCTTTATGTTTTACTTTCAGCATTAATATTGATAAATTTATTTTATTAACTCCTTTATTCAGAAAAGATGAATTTTAAGAAGTTAACTTTTTTATGTGGGATTCACATACGGAGTGCAATTTGATCTACGCTATTATGATATTTGTATAAGTATCAATCAAAGAAAATATCAAAGAAGTAGATGTGACTCTTTAAAGCAATATTTTAGACTAGAAGCAACATGTAAATGTGATCAGAGTCCTTATTTCTGCTCTTAACTTTTTTTTTTTATTGAATATGTTTTTAGATGTTATATTTATTTTTTGTTATTGCAAATAAACTCCTGAGTTGTTTTTGAAATATGTAAACATTTGTGATAGTAAAATAAAGAATAGTTCTTCTTTTTTTTTCTTTTTTAACTTTATAGGCTACATCATTTCTACTTAAAGTGGAAGTAGTATAGGTTGTTTTAGAAATGTAGAGGTGTAAGAGAAGTGAAACTTTTTTCCATTTGTAAGTTGACCCAAAGAAAATAAGAATGCTAAAGTCTTGAATGAAGGCAGAATCACATGGCTGTGAGCTGGTCTTTATCAAGTTCCTGGAAATTCCCCAAAGGTTTTCTAAAGAAGTAAGTATTTGGAGCAGTTTTGGCCAACTAGTTTTGACTCATAGCATGATAAACCTTCATTTTAAAGTTTAGTATTATTATGTGGCCATGATTTCAAGCTATATATATTAAATTTTTAGTCTAATACATACAAATTACCAAAAGTTGTTAAATAATATTCATGATATTCATATACTGTATTGTTTTTTAACTTCATTCATTGTTTTGATAAAATGTGTAAGCTACTACATCTTAGTTACAGTAAAACTGTAATTTGTACATACTTATGGTATCAAAGGATTACTTATAACTGTTTTGATTTTGTGTTCTGTAACACTAAATAACGGTTACTCTTCATCAAGGAGCTTCCACCTCAGTGACCGATTCAAAACAGACTTTGCTCATATTGTTTCTCGCCAAGCTGTGTGGAATATATTTTAGTATGACTAATGAGATTGTTTTGATTCTGGCATAGCAATGATGAGCAATGCGGCAGTTACAAGTCCCAGGTTTAGTTAACATGTCTTCTGTGCAGTGATATGGAAAGTGTAAGGTACTGCACAAGCAGCCATCTCACCCCTGGTGCTCGTAAAAGCAATTTGTTAAAGAACATAACTTCTCCTTAGATATTTTAAGCATGAATGTTTAATTGATATTTTACCACACTGCTTGTTGTGAGTAAAGGACAATCAGGCTTCACCAAGTTTTGTTTTATGTAGAGGATTCATCTAAATATATGACTTCACACAGAACCAATTGTCTCCAGGGTAGACCCAGGGAGGTGTCCAAAAGGAAATAAAGAACAAATTCTAAATAGTTATACTGACCCAACTAATTCATAATTGTAGGACTAACTTTACTAATGTTCTTTGTTCATTTTGGATGGTTGGTGAGCTGCAATGAAGCACACTTTAAGGCTCAACTTTTATGATGATAATATTGCATAGATTACCCATAAAAACTACACACAAATTTTGCCCCGTGCACACCTTTTTGGTTATGAGGTCCCTGGAGATTAGATAACATTATTCTGAACATGTTGACCAATAATAGGAGGTACTTCATGAAAAGCAGTGCTTTTTGATCAGTGTAAGTCTACTCATTTTGAACAGTAAAAAGTAAAGGCTGGATAAAGAAAGTGCTCAAAATAAAAATGAATGCAATATGGATCTGCAACATAGTTTTGGCAGGCTCAGGATGCCAGTAAAAG